CCCCAAAACCCCAAAACCCCAAAACCCCAAAACCCCAAAACCCCAAAACCCCAAAACCCCATTTATATTAGATTTTTGTTAGATTAATTAGTTAATAGATATGGAAACAGAAAATCTAGATGAGAGATATAGGGACTTGGACAACCTCTTCTTGAGAGATTCCAAATTCGCTCCTGAACTCTTTGCTCCAAACGACGCTCTCAAGACCATCCTGTTTGATGCAGCAAAGGTACTGGTGATTGGAGCCGGAGGTCTCGGTTGAGAAATACTAAAGGACTTGGCACTTTCAGGGTTCAGAGATATCACAGTTATTGATATGGACACTATTGATGTAACAAACCTCAACAGACAGTTCTTGTTCAGGAAGAAAGACGTTGGAAAGCATAAATCCGAAGTTGCAGCAGCTTTTATTGAAGAAAGATGTTCTGGAGTCAAAGTGACAGCTCATACCAACATGATCCAGGACTTTGATGCTGACTTTTATAGAGAATTCCATGTAATTATAGCAGGATTGGATAACATAGAAGCCAGAAGGTGGCTAAATGCACTCCTACATTCTATGGTAGAGTTTGATGATGATGGCAAGCCTGATATAGCAACTGTAAAACCTCTTATTGATGGAGGTACTGAGGGATTCAGAGGACAAGCAAGGCTTATCATGCCTCATATGTCTGGATGCTTTGAGTGTACCCTTTCTTCACTACCTAAACAGAATAGCTACCCAATGTGTACTATTGCTGAGACTCCAAGACTTCCAGAGCATTGCATCCAGCATGCATATGTTATTCAATGGCCAGAGCATTTCAAAGATAAAAAGGTCGATAAAGATTCTCCTGATGACATGAACTGGATCTTTGAGAGAGCTAAGGAAAGAGCAGAGTCCTATAATATTGAAGGTGTAACCTACTTCTTGACTATGGGAGTTGTCAAGAATATCATCCCAGCTATTGCTTCCACAAATGCCTTAGTTTCTGCTGCTTGTGTAAACGAAGCTCTTAAGGTCGCTACATTCTGCAACAAGAGCGTTGATAACTATTTCATGTTTATGGGACAAACTTCAGTGTACACATCAACATTCCCCTTCGAGAAGGACGAGAACTGTCTAGTGTGTGCTTCCCAACGTGAGAGCCAGACAGTGGCCGGCTCTAAGCTCCTAAAGGAATTCAGAGATGAACTGCAGGAGAAGTTCACTCTATCCAATCCTGGTTTAACTGCTGAATCAACTAACAAGACCTTGTACATCTCCGGGCCGCTTGGCAAGAAGACTAAGCAGAACCTTGAACTGTCCATGGCTCAGTTGGTCGAGAGCGGGTTTTTGGATAAGCAAGATATAATCCAAGTGACTGATAAGGCAATTCCAACAGTGATGAAGGTTTATGTTAAAATTGAATAAGGCTTTAAATGTCAAAGTTTTCTCAATTAAAGGGACCAAGTTCGGGGTTTTGGGGTTTTGGGGTTTTGGGGTTTTGGGG